GAGGACTATCTGTATCGTTCTGCGGCACACTAAATGGTAAGTATAAAGATGGAAAAAAAAAATAGCACAGTTTGGTTTTAAGCTCAGCAGCCTGGTTTTATTTTACTTCCTGCTATTTTTAGAAATGGTGAGATCTTAGCATGCCCTAGATTCTGGAAGTCAGTATCCCAAAAGTCCTTCATTTTGACTAAGTGACCCAAAAGAACAGGTTGAGGTCTGCATTGAGACAGAACTCTTGAAAGCTTTTACGGTGGACTTTCCAGACCTAAATCTTTCCACCAAGCTGGATAAATTATATTTTACACAGAAGGTTCAACCTTCATGTTCCTTGCCATCAAAGAAGTCACTAATCCACGTTGAATAATATCAAACTTTGGGGCTGAATCGCTTGTTAGTCTGAAAAGGCTCACACGTCAAACTCCTGTCAGCTAACACAAGAAAGCGTTAACATTCTCCCCTTGGGTTTTAATAATGAAATATATTTACATGTAAACCAAAATCTGTTTTATTTTATTTGTTTTTTGCTAACCCTGTTTAGCCTTGTCAGGCTGTAAAACAGTCAGGCACAGTTTAAATGAAATTGAAGGGAAGTGTACTTTTTCTGGGTCTGAGGATTAGGTAAGGCAAAACGCAGTTCTGCTGTTCTAAATCCTGCCTCCCAAAGATGCACCTAATTGGTAAAGGAATGGGAATTTGTGTTTAAGGATGAGTTGTGGTTATATAACACAGGCAGAGTCTATTTCTTAAATTCCCAGGAAGGAGGAGGAGGAGGAGAAGGAGGAGGAGGAAGAGGAGGAGGAAAGAGGAAGAGGAGGAAGAGGAGGAGGAAGAATAAGAAGGGGGAGAAGAGGAGGAGAGGAGGAGAAGAAGAAGAGGAGGAGCAGGAAGGGGAGGAGGAGAGGAAGAGGAGGAAGAATAAGGAGAAGAGGAGGAGCAGGAGGAGGGAACAGATGGAGGAGGAGGAGCAGGAAAGAGCAGGAAGAGGAGGAGAGAAAGAGGAAGAAGAGGAGGAAGGAGGAGGAGGAGGAGGAAGAATAGGAAGGAGGAGGAGAGGAGGAGGAGAGGAGGAGGAGAAGAAGAGGAGGAGGAGGAGGAAGAGATAATGCTAGAAGGGCATGTATCTTTTCTGAACCATGGGGATACTGCAATGGGCATAAGTGTGAAAAGTCATAAGTTACTTTTTTCAGTACCGTAGTAATTTTGAACGGTCACTAAAGAAATAGTTTTAAGTCACGAACTCCCCGTATGTTGCCATCTACTGCAGGGGCTCCCAAACCACGGGCCATGGGCTACTATAGGGGTGTGACCTGTTTGAAACCGGGCAGTGCAAGCGATACACGCGCAAAACTCTACTCTTGTGCTAGTGCAAGAAGCTACACTCTCACAAGCGTTGGGCCCTTGCGTTTGTGTGAGAGGAGGGAGCTTGTGCTGGCATGCAAAAGCTCCATTCACGCTTGTGAGCCTGCCACACCAATACTCCCCACCCTGGCAGGCCAGGCCACCAAAGGCAGTGGTGGGATTCAAATTTTTTTACTACTGGTTCTGTGGGCGTGGCTTGGTGGGCATGGCAGGGGAAGGATACTGCAAAATCCCCATTCCCTCCTCACTCCTGGGGGAAGGTTACTGCAAAATCCCCATTCTCTCCCCACCCCACTAACCTGCTTTCCAGCTCCGTTCTCCTGTGCAGGGCAACCAAAGAAGACCCAGCCAATCAGCTGGGACTCGGGGGGGCGGAGAATAGATAGGGGCGGGGCCAGTCAGAGGTGGGATTTGCCGGTTCTCTGAACTACTCAAAATGTCTGCTACTGGTTCTCCAGAACTGTTCAGAACCGGCTGAATTACCACCTCTGCACCAAGGGTGAAAGGTTGGGAACTGTTGGTCTACTATCTAAGGATAATTTTTGGAAGAAACCAATATTAAGTGGCGCCTTTCTTCCACGAGCAGCTTTACTGATTATCATTGAAGGACACACAATATTCTCTGGCCCAAAAAGTGCACATTTGTGTTTCTGGGTGCACACTCTGTTCAGGGAAGCATGCTATGAAGTTTAGGTGGGATCAGGCCCTGGACTCAATTTGAATTAAATTATTAATTACTACATTTAGGTTAATGGGGGTAATTAGATTGCTCCCCGTGCATTTGATAATTGCTACATTCTTTTGTGTAAAATATGATTATTTAATGGTAATTTGTGGATTGATTCAGAGCAATGCCTTCAAGGTTTGGGAGGAGGGCGAGTGTCTCCAATTATGGACCATTGCAACAAACCGTCTTGAGAAAAAGACGAATGTGAGCTTCGAGATGAGGCAAGAGACGGTTTGTGTAAAGGATGTCCTTCCAACCATTTGGTACATAAATATTCCTGCCCTGATCAGTGCACATTGCTTATGAGCTGTGATTAATGCCCTCCTGTAAGAGGTGTCTCAAGAGAAGCTGTGAAAACGATTTCCATGTTGAGCAAGAAAATTATACAGGGAGCATTTCTCACTGTGGGCCATTTACGAAATTTTTGTCAAAGGTTCCTCTCCCCCCCCCCCCCAAAACAACAACAACAAAAAGAAAGAAAATGAAAAAAAAGAATGATGGAAGGAGCAGTGCATCATGCGAAACACACACCCTGCGGCAAAATAGTTTCTGGCAAGCCATTAAAGGGCTTGTATCAAACACTTTATAGCAGTGATTCTCAACTTGGCAACTTTGTGAGGACTTCAACTTCCAGAATTCCCCGACCAGCCAGTTCTGGGGATTTCTGGGAGTTGAAGTCCACACATCTTAAAGTTGCCAAGTTGAGAAATACTAGATTATACTGTAAACTGGCTTTCCCTAATCTCCATATGATTTGGGATAACAAACCCTCAGGATTCTCTTTTGGATCCACACATTTGGAATACTGGCCACACTTGGAATACTGCATTCAGTTTTGGTCTCCATGATGTAAAAGAGATGTTGAGACTCTAGAAAGCATGCAGAGAAGAGCAACAAAGATGATTAGGGGACTGGAGGCTAAAACGTATGAGGAGGAATGGTTGTAGGAATTGTGGGTATGTCTCGTCTAATGAAAAGAAGGACTAGGGGAGACATGATAGCAGTGTTCCGATATCTCAGGGGCTGCCACAAAGAAGAGGGAGTCAATCTATTCTCCAAAGCACCTGAGGGCTGGACAAGAAGCAATGGATGGAAACTAATCACGGAGAGAACCAACCTAGAACTAAGGAGAAATTTCCTGACAGTTAGAACAATTCATCAGTGGAACAACTTGCCTCCAGAAATTGTGGGTGCTCCAACACTGGAAGTTTTTAAAAAGATGTTGGATAACCATTTGTCTGAAGTGGTGTAGGGTTTCCTGCCTAGGCAGGGGTCTGGACTAGAAGACCTCCAATGTCCCTTCCAATTCTGTTATTCTATTCTATTCTATTCTATTCTATTCTATTCTATTCTATTCTACTCTACTCTACTCTACTCTACTCTACTCTACTCTACTCTACTCTACTCTACTCTACTCTATTCTATTCTATTCTATTCTATTCTATTCTATTCTATGTACACTGAGAACATTTGCACCGACAAATTCCTTGTGTGTCCAGTCACACTTGGCCAATCAAGAATTCTATCTATCTTATCTATCTATCTATCTATCTATCTATCTATCTATCTATCTATCTATCTATCTATCTATCTATCTATCTATCTATCTATCTATCTATCTCTGTCATCTCTCTCTCCATCCATCCATAATTTCAGGTCTGTCTGTGTCTGACTGTCTCTCTGTCTCTCTCTCTGTCTCTCTCTCTGTCTCTATCTCTCTATCTATCTATCTATCTATCTATCTATCTATCTATCTATCTATCTATCTATCTATCTATCTATCTATCTATCTATCTATCCATCTATCTCTCCTAGCCACTATGTCCCTTGCTCGACAAAATAATGAAACAAAAAAAAAATACTCAAAAATATAGACCACCCACAACTTCTGGAGGCCTGCAATTTCTCTGCCTCTTTTTAAGCAAAGCTGAGCTTAAGGATCTAACTCAGGGATGTCAAACTCAATTTCATTGAGGGCCACATCAGGGTTGTGTTTGATCTTGAAGGCCTGGCCGGGATGGGAATAGCCAGCTGGACATCACTTGTGTGTGGGGCGCAGTGTTCTGCCAGTGAAAATGGGCCACATGCGGCTCTCCCAAGCTCCATTTTAGCTAACAAATAACAGATAACAGATAATCAGAGTTGGAAGGGACCTTATAGATCATCTAGTCCAGCCCCCTGCCCCAGTGGGAGACCCTACACCATTTCTGACAAATGGCAGTCCAATTTCTTCTTGAAAGTCTCAAGTGATGCCGCTCCCACAACTTCCGAGGGCAACTTCTGTTCCGTGGGTTGATTGTTCTCACTGTCAGAAAGTTTCTCCTTATTTCCAGGTTGAATCTCTCCTTCATCAGTTTCCATCCATTGTTCTTTGTCTGGCCTTCAGGTGCCTTGGAAAATAGCTTGACTCCCTTCTCTGTGTGGCAGCCCCTCAAATATTGGAAGACTGCTATCCTGTCTCCCTTGGTCCTTCTCTTCTCTTCACTAGACTAGCCAGGCCTAGTTCCTGCAACCGTTCATCGTATGTTATTTAGCCTCTAGTCCCCTGATCATCCTGGTTGCTCTTCTCTGCACTTTTTCTAGAGCCTCAATATCTTTTTTATTGTGTGGTGACCAAAACAGGACGAAGTACTCTCGGTGTGGCCTTACTAAGGCTTTATAGAGTGGTATTAGTACCTCATTTGATCTTGATTGCATCCCTCTGTTAATGACTCCCTGCTGCCAGGGAGGCCTTCCCGAGCTCTGTTTTTGCTGGCAGAGGCGCCGTAGGCCAATCCTTCGCTGCTTCCAAGGTGGCCCCGCAGGCCAGATCTAAGCACCCCGTGGGCTGGATCCGGCCTATGGGCCTTGAGTTTGACATCCCTGAGCCAACTGATCACTCTTTCAAACCTCACTTGTCAGCCGTATGGCCCACCTTAATTTTTTTGATTTCACCAACATCTATTCCCATCACAGAGAATTTCTCCACAGAAGATGCTGCAAATTGGTTCTTTTCTTCCGGGAGATCAAGCCACATGTGGCCGGTACAGTTTTCCTGAGGACCAATGACGATTAGGAAAACTCGGCTGCTGGTACTTGAGTCGAATTCTTTCCCGGTGGTGAGGACGACGTGGTAAGGAATGACTGAAAACAAAGACAACCACGTTAGGCAAATGAGATTGACGCAGAGCTTACAGAGGCCTCCATTTTAAGTGACACTAAAGGATGTTAGGCCCCAAGGTGGTAGAGATAGTCCTCAATTAACAGCCATTCGTTTAGTGACCATTACAACAGCACTGAAAAAAGTGGCTGATGACCGTTTTTCACTTATGACCCCTGTTGTAGCATCCCCATGGTCATGTGATCAAAATTGGCAACTGGTTCATATTTTATGAGGGTTGCAAGCAGGTCCAGGGTTGTATGATCCCCTTTGGTGGCCTTCTCACGAGCAAAGTCAATGAAGAAGCCAGATTCGCTTAACAACCATGTTACTAACGTAGTGACTGCTGTGATTCCCTTAATCACTGTGGCGAGAACACTTCTGGCACTGTTAAATATTTAACCTTCTGGCAGCCACACTTGCTGGAGACCAATAGTGTGGCTTCCTTCCGTTTTGTGGTTAAAGCACAGACAAAAGCTATAGGATTGATCCCAACATAGGAAACAAAACAAAAAATGGCAGGAAACGACAGGTCTGCCCACATTATTGTTACCTCTTCCATGTTTTGGAAATGTTGTGGCATTTATTTTGTCCTCCCCAATCATGTTTAGCATAGCCTGAAGCTATAAAAATCAGAATGGGACAATTTGCCATGGCCAACTCGCCTAGTCATGGCCAAGTCCATGTAGGACAACTCTCCACAGGATGATTTAATGATTCAATTTAATTATTTAAAATAAATTTAAAAATATTTTAATTTTTTTCATTCACGTTTCATTTTGGCCCTCCTTTTGCATCCTTTCTTTAATGATTCTATCCCACCATTCCTTTGATAATAAGTGTAACTCTTGTCCTTCAGTGAGATGTCCCATGGCAAGCTGGCCATGGTGAGTTGTCTGTGGCCAGTTGGCCATGGTGAGTTGGCTGTGGCCAATTGGCCATGGTGAGTTGGCTGAGGCCAATTGGCCATGATGAGTTGGCTGTGATAAGTTGGCCATGGTGAGTTGGCTGAGCCCAAT